CTGGAACACCATTTGACTTAAAGGATAACATTCTCATTGCCTGTCTGTGGCAATATTCACACCTGACATGAAGACATAGTCATTTTAGTTTATTTTGTTTCTGAATTCAGTGGTAAACTTACTGCATGAAGGCACTTCATGACATTCACAAGCATATCATAATTAAAATATGAAAGGAACCCAACCAGTGCCAATCATATCTTTATGCAGTTTTTGAAATTGAGAAACAAAGAAAAATTACTCTTGCACATTTTTGAATGGATAGACTTACACATTTTCTATAAATGAGATCTAGCATTATACAGACAAGAGTAAATAGTTAAACAGCATTTTTCTATTTCACATAAAATTAACATAAATATCTTCTAAGTATATTGACTAAATCTGGGTGTTAAAAAATGAAGACATAATTATGGTTTCTAAATAACCAAAATTGTCTCACAAATTTAATTATGTATTAATAACTATTTTAGACTTAGAATGCACTCGATCTTTGTATATTTTATATCTCCATGATATAAAAGGAAAGTAAGGAAGGAAAGCCAAAACATCATAATCTGAAGGAAAAGAAAAAACTTAATAGCTGATATCAGTTTATTTGGTAAACCTGATCTCAGTTTTAGTAACTTCATCTCTGATGAGAGACACAAAGAGAATTTACATTTCATCTTAGTGAATTGTAAATAAAAAGTTAAAATGACAAATTGAGTTGTTCAAGTCCACGGTTTTCTTAAAATTGACATACTTGTTGGTAGGGAAGTGTATTTAGAATATAAGACATGGAAGAGTGAAAAAAATCACTCAACTTTCTGGGTATAGTGAAAAACTGCCTTTTCTCTTTGGATACAAAGTAAATATCATGCACCCTTTATCAAGGGAGGAGACTCCTGAGCTGGACAGATGTTTCCACATCTGGCTGAGATGGCCATTTCATTAACACTCCTATCCTTCTCCATCTTCTAAGACATTCCTTCTAGGAGAAAACAGCAGACTGCATTGCTAAGTTCTGAGTTTGGGCTACAGACCTTAGGACACTCATGTGAATTTCTCCTTTATTCTGCATTTGAACCTGTTTGACAATGAGATCAGTCACTCACTGTGCCCTACATGCTTTCAGGTTTGCACTTACCCTTAGGTTGTCCAGAAAAGTCTATTATTTAAAGGCTGAATGTACCTCATTCTAGAGTTTAGTATTAAAATGTTACATGTGGCCCACATCTATCTCACGCTCAGCAATAGAGTATCAATAATAAAGGTATTTTAATACCAAATTATTTGGGGGCCAATTATTCGTTTCTGAAATTGTATAGTGAGCAAGGTTGTGATATATTGGTCTGGTATAACTGACTGTATATGATCACTATCTATTGTATAGTGAAGAGGTTTGTGATATATTGGTCTGGTATAACTGCTGAATGTGATCATATAATCTGAGAGATTCTATAAATTACCCTATATTTCTTACAAGATGAGATAGCACAGCTTTTTCTCAATAATCAATATCCCATTTCTTGTCAAAATCATGAAGATGAAGCTATTTATATCCCAAAATATCAGTGATATGAAAAATGAGTAATAAAAAGAAAAAGCCACAATACAGGGTAAGATAATTTTAATTTTAAGTTATTGCGCCTAATTAGACACCTTATAAATGCATCCCAAGTAATACGTATGTGCATAGAATTTACATAAACAAATGTATATACATTAATAAGTGGGATAAAAGTTCATATTAAGAATGTATTTATGGGCTGAGGATTTAGCTCAGTGGAGCCATGCCTGCTTCGCAAGCACAAGGTCCTGAGTTTGATCCCCGGTACCAAAAAAAGAAAAAAAAAAGAATGAATTTATGTGCAAACTGTAGAAATCCTATCTCAACTCTCCTTTATAAATGGCTTTGATGTGTCTTAGCCTCATGTATTTTCTTCTACACGATATCAATCTTATATACATTAAATATGACATCTCTTGAAGAACACATTATAACTGTTAAGTTGTTCATGTCCAGAATTTTATGTAGATATTCTTCAATCTTATTTTATTACCAGTGTATTTATGCATAAGTTCATCAGAACTTCTTTACTGTGTGGGTCATTTTTCCACATTACTTTAATTTTCCTATTTCCTGTCTAGTTTGTATTCAAGTAGCTGTCTTGTATTTTCCGTCTTGTACTGGAAGTTGGATAATATAATCTTTAGCTTACAGAGCACACCTGTACCTTCCCAGTTAAGTAGCTAAATACAAAGGAAAGGAAAAACTAAAATGTGGAAAAAATGACTACCAGGCCAGCAAGATAAGCATGGACTAGATCTTGTCACACAAGGTGCTCATACTAAATTATTTATATCAGCATTTTCTTAAAGACATTATAAAAATACAATGTTCTAAGGATAGATTCCAGGTACTAGGGATATAGCTATAACTTGGCACTAACCAAAGAGAGAATTTAAAATACATAGAGTATGTCTTGAAAGTTGTACAAATATCAATCAAAGAACGTAAACTGTACATAGAAAAAGTGGGGAAAATTTTGTCAATACCAAATCATAGATGGTGTGAAAAACTGAAACAATTTTCAATATAAGGATCCCTGTAGACTTCCTTGGCTCTAGGGTTCATGCAGGCAGGACATTGCAAACATCAGAGATGACATTAGAAGTCTCTTCCTGCATTGCTAAGAGTCAGATGCTGGACCAACGGAGGTAGGCCATTATTCCTGGCTATTCCTTGACACATTTCTCACATCCATCTCTACCCTTCTAATAAGGTTTTCCTTTTTTAAATTTCTTTTTTCTTGCTTTATTTTCTTGTTTGGTGTTAATTTCACCCCCATTTTTCTTCCTAAACATTGGAATAACATTTTCTTTATAACATCAACTTTATGACTCTAATAAAATTTTTGACATACATTCTATTTTTTTCCATTTTCTTTATATTTTCATTGCCCAATAATAGAATTTTTAAAAAGTTTTGTTACACTAAAAATATACTCTTGAGAAGAACAGGAATATCATCCTTCTTTTGGAATCAGTGATTTTCTATCCTATTCCCACCTGCAATATTTTCCACCTGAATACACATTAAAAGATTGGAAATGTGGGGGTGGAAAGGAGGTGGATGGAAATTATACTCTGAACATATTTATTATGCCAACAATTCAATATAATGCATATTTGATGGTGTGTAGTTAGGTATTAAAATTTCTCATAGTAAGAAATGTTTCGGTCAGTGGGAATTGTAGATAATTTCAGTTAACCTGGGAATAATTTGGCTAGCTAAAAGGCTTAGACTAATATATAAACATTCAGTATAAGAAAAATTAATTTATTCTTCATATTAATCCTCTGTCTAACTATACCAGAAATTGAAAATGCAGATAAAACCTGAGGAGAAAACTAATAATTTCATTATTTTTTCAAATAAATTTAGAAAGAAATAGTATGACAATAAGAAAATTGTCTATCACAACCTACAATGTGGGAAAAAAAATTTTACCAGTTGTTCCTCAGATAAAGGTCTACTATCTAGAATGTATAAAGAACTCAAAAAATCAGACCCCCCCCAAATATAAAGACCCAATTCAAAAATGGGCACATGAAATGAACAGACATTTCTCAAAGAAGTAAAAGCAGCAAATGAACATATGAAAAAATGTTCAACATCACTGGTCATTGGAGAGATACAGATGAAAACAATGCTGATGAATAGTTTCCCTTGTGTGAAAATCTAAAAGTGTAAATAAGGATCAAAATGTATAACTGATCTTGTGAAATAGAAAGGATCTAAATGAGTAGGGGAAGTGGGAGGGGAGGGGAAAGGAAAGAAAGGAAAAGAAAAAATATGATAAAAGAAAAAAATAGAAATAAAGTCTTTGTAAATAGGGAAGGGTGGAAGGAGTGAAGGGAGGGCAGGGGAATAGGGAAAAATAAGAACTAAGATACATCATGTACAGGTACAAGATCCCAGTGGTGAATGTAACTATGCTGTATACATAAAATATACTAATAAATTTAATGAAAAAAAAGAAAATTGCTTCTCAAAATTTAACGATTTTTCTCCTAATGTATTAAATATTTTTACAAAAACATTAGAGTTTTATTTACAGTTACTGATTTAATTTAGATTCATAAAATTTATTTTCATTAATTTCCATGATTTTATTTTGTCTGATTTTGTTTCTCTCACATTCATATTTACAAAAGGAGACTGAAGTGTGTGGATGAAAAAACATTTAGTACAGTTGCATAGATTTACCAAATATGCATGGCGAAAACATTCCAAATTCTGTCCCATCCCATGTTCTTGGCATCTTTGGGGCTTGATTAAAATATCAGAACCACAAAAATTAGAACAAAAAGTACAGTGAGCATTTTAAATATAGAAAGGGGTAGAGGGTAGATTTGAGATGTTTTTCTTGTTTTCACTTATAGAATAATATTTTGCTATGATTTAATAAAAGCTGAAATCACTATCAGTTGACAAATCACAAATAGTTTATAAAGTGACAGGAAATTGAACCAGCTATCATTCCTGATGGCTTATGGATACATTCCTTGTAAGCCTGCTTTATGGGAGAGTAATGACAATGGCACTAAACATGCCTGGGCCGAGACTGAAGTCCACGGAAGAAAATATGTGGAGAGTTCTGACAGAGCTGCTCACCAGAGAAAAATGTGACTCAATTTAGATGATCAGAGGTAAAAAATAAGGCTATTACTTAAATATTTCATTTTGCATGGAGATAATACAATTCATGAAAATATGTGTTAAGTTTTGTAGAACTGGTAGTTAATCTTTTTGGAAATTTGAAAGTTATTCAGAATTGAACCAAACATTTAAGATTATGAAACCAATTTTTATCAAAATTATCAGAGTAAAATTTTTGGTTAGACATTTCATAGTGATACACAACAAAAACAATAAAACAAAACCATCAAAGGAACAAAGTAACCCAATGAGCCCCCTCCGCCCTGCCCTGCACACATGTGCTGATACTTACTTAGCATGGCGGATATCTGGCAGGGACCTCTCTAGTGCAATATTATTGCTGACAAAAATGTTGAAACCATTTTCCCTGTAAGCTGAGTCATCACCGTCCTCTTCAGTGAGGGGGTAAGGTTTCCCATGTTCACCTTTCCCTAACAGGAAAAAACAAAGTCGAATTTTCAACAAGGGAAAAAAAATTGTCATATTCTAGAACAAAAACACAGACTTGAAGGTATTTCCTTAAAACAACTGTTGCTCTGGGACACACAAGGTGCTAGAAGAAAGGTGCTGTATTATTTAATTTTAAGTTTTTAATGTGGAAAAATTGAATATACTAAAGTAAAAACGTAAATAGAACAGAAATAGAAAGTATAACTTCACTTTCCAGATAGAACCACTGTAAAGATTTCAGTGTATGTTTCCTAATAGTTGTATGAGATTCTAACAGACATATCGCTTTATTGATTTTTTCCAAAATAATTATTGATCCTTTACTTCCAATAGTTGATATTATTTATACTCTAATATATGCCATTGCATTGAAGAAATGCTTTTATGTTATTCCTAGCTTTTCCTAATTTCTCCATTATAGATATGTTGAAATGGTTATTTTTATTCACATTTTCCCAGTTACATCTTTGTGAACTCATAAATTCCTAGAACTGGAATTTATGGAATATCTTCATAATAAGCATAGTATTTTTCACACATCCTTAGAAACAATGGATATTTTCATATCTATAACAAAAATATATATTATTTATATTTTAATTAGCATTATATATTTCTGATGTCATAACATGATTGTTCAGGAGTTTTTAAACAAATACTTTGTAGAGCTTTTTGTATATTATGTTTACTCAATCTTTGTTAGTTACATATGCTGCCAATATTTTCTGAATTTACTCACTGAAATCTAAGCTAAATTATTTCCATCAGAATAATTTTATTTTATAATTTCCTCTCAGCCTCCTTCTTTCCCTCCTTTCTTCCTTTCTTTCCTCTTTGTTCTCTCTCTCTCTCTCTCTCTCTCTCTCTCTCTCTCTCTCTCTGGATTGAACCCAAGGCTGTTGCAGTTAGCTCCAGCTCCATCTATTTTTATTTTTGTGAGACAGGTTTTGCTAAGTTGATAAATTTCCCATGCAGATTTCTACCTTATCATCCTCCTGCCTCAGTTTCCCAGTGTACTAGAATTATAGGTATCCAACACAACACTCAACATTTATTTACATATAATATTTAGAAATAAGTTCTTTCTAAATTTCTTCATTATTTCTTCATAATTTCCTTATTTCTAAATCTCTTCATTATTTAATACAGGTTCATGAGTTCAGAGTTTTACTAAACTTTTATTTTTGTTTTGATGATTAAAAGCTTTGAACAGTTTGCAAATTGTTTTGTGTGAAAAGTGAGGTAAGTGCTACTTTTAGTTGTAAGGATGCAATTTATTAAGTAATTTCTTTTTATTATTATTAAATAATAATTATTATTTTTGAATAATAATAATAATTAAATATTTCTTTTCCTTCTTTATGTTTAAATATAGATACAAATTTTCTACAGTTGTTTAAGCACATTTACAAATTCCCATGACATCCCACTGTTGTGTCAATTTTTACTTTGGAAACACTGCAGCACTAATTTTTTTTAATTTTTGGAAAAGCCAGTTGTCACTTATCATGTTGTTTTTCAGGTTAATCTTACATGTTTGTTTTCCTATGTGAACTATTTAATTAAATATCCCTTTTAGATTTTGTTTTTGAGATTGTACTGGATTTATTAATTCATTCTTAGAACATAGATTTATTAATTCATCCCTAGAGAATTCATCCCTAGAGATCCCCTGGATCTCAGTGGAATTTCATACAATTTTTTTCTTTTCTTTTCTTTCTTTTGGTATATGTTGGTACTGCATAATGTTTACATTCTTCATGGGGAGTTGGTACATATGCACAAAACATCTTAAATTCTTTTTTTCATTTCCTTCCCCTACTTTTCCTGTCCCTCCCTCCATCTCTGGATCTCCTACCTTTTGCAAAAGCTCTATCATACAATTTTCTTTGAGTTCTATATGGAATTTTGGAAAAATACAATGAGTGGATAAGTTTTTTAAAAACTTATTATACTGACAGACACATTCACCAAGAATGATGGTATAAGTGTTTAAAATGAGAGGCATGGTATTTTTACAATTTTGTGGGAAAGTAATGGCAATATGTCTTTTATTGTAATAAATGTTTAAATTTAAATGCCACATTTTCTGATCACACCTTATGAATCAGACATTTAGGACAACTTCTGCCAAATAAAAGTATTACAGTGTATCTTTGTTATGGCTTTTATATAGATGTCCCACTCATGCTCTCATAGGTGGGGCTTTTCAGATGTGGTTGGATTTAGAGTGTGTGAAGATGGAGTAAGAGTATGTGACAACTAAATTAGTCCACTAATTGGTTTAGCATAGTTCTGGGTGTGGATAATGGGAAGGCCCACTCTGAGTGTGGGCGGTACCATCCAATAGGTTTCAATTCTGGATGGGATCAAAATCCAGAAGTCTTGCTGCTTGCTGCTTCCTGTCTGCTTTGCCACAGACTGTTTCTCTGCCATGCCTCCTTTCCATGTACCCTGTCTTGGAGCCAGGAGACTATGGACTGAAACCTTTACAAACTGTAAGCTAAAATAAAGCTTTCCTCCTTTAACTGTGGGTGTCTGGTATTGTGTCCCAGCAACGAAAAAAGTAAGTAAGACAATCCTCAGCCTCCTTATCCACCAAATATCTCTTTGTGCTACTTCTGCCTGTTCTCCAAAGTCAAAATGACCATGAAAGATAAACATTTTGAAACAATTCAGGATATAGAGGCAGCCATGACAATGCAATTAAAGACTTTCACAAGAGGACTTCCAAAACTGCTTCTATAAGAACAATGGGATAACTGTGTTCAAAGTGAGAGGAACTCTTTTGAGGGGATTAAAGACAATGTGTATTTTTTTTTATACCAGGAATCAAACTCTGGACTTTGTGCTTGAGAGGCAGGCAGCAGAATCACTGAGCTAAATCCTCAGCCCTCTTAGTATTTTTTAATGTAATCATTAATTCTCTTTTTATCACACTTTTTATGAATTTTTTGTTAATATTTCTAGATGTTCTTTTTCTTCATTATCGTCCATGTGATATCTTTTTTTCCAGTATATTTTTCTAAATAGCATGCTCTATAGTTACTGATTTTTATAATTATTGATTTATTAGTCATCATACTGAACTTATTTCCTCAAATAATTTTTAAAAACTCTAGGGCTTTTCAGGTACCAATCCTTTCATTTCATGTATCATGTCTTTGCCTACTCTTTCCTTCATGACTAGCTCTTACTGCTTTTTCTTTTAATTCTATAACTCAGAATAAAACACATTAGGGTAAATATGCATTTACTCTGATACTGAGTTGAATTCAGTGATGCCAAATGTTTCATATTTGAAGCTAGATGTATATTTGTCAGTATTTGTGTTTGTGTGCGTGTGTGTATGTCTGTGTGTGTTTATAACATCATGTTAAGAAAGAATCCTGCTAGTGCCTTTTAACAAATACTATTTTCCATTAATAGAATATTAAAATTTATATGCCTTTTCCAAATCTTTTGAGATAATTATATTTCTGTTTTTTATCTTGTCAACTACTGATTTGCAAACATTGTTTTCAATCTGAAATTCATTCCTTTTTAAGGATATTCTACTTATGTATCAAGGATTCCTCAAAAAACAAAAAGAGAATGCATCCTATTTAACTTCCTCCTTTTATCTGCATGTCAAGTTCATGGAGCTGACAGCCACTATAACTAGCATGGAATGATAAGAAATTACTTGGTCAGGGAACAGGCTAAAAATCTCTCTGATTGTGGAAAAGCATTTTAGGTGTTTTGCTTTTACTCTTAAAAACAAAACCAAAAAAGACCTTATATTTCTCCAGTATCTCCACTTGATTTCTTAGAAGAATATATCACTATTTTAATTCAAAGAAAAAAGTGATTGAGAAATTCCATTTATACAATAGAACCCATTATGTATAAAATTTGTTAAAGTATTTTATACACATCTTTCTTTCAATACACTTAGGCCCTGAAATAAATATTGGTCTACCCAACTTGCATATAAATAAATAATATTGAGATTAATATTTGAACATTTACACAATTAGCAATTACCCATTTAACCTGATTAAACATTTAAAAAAATCTAAATCTTTCTTTCATAAATGCCCAAATTAGCTAGAAAAGGTCTTTGAAATTATTTGGTTTCTGATATTAATTTGATTTTTTATGTCATTCAATAAATCCTACGTAATAAGAAAACTGTGGACTGGGGATTTAGCTCAGTGGCTCCACCGCCTTTTTTTTTAAAATTAATTTTATTGGTACATTTTATTGGTACATTTTAGGTATACAATTCATTTACATTTATCATTGGGTGTTTGTACCTGTACATGAT